TTAAGAAAGTGTCTGAGATTAATCCCTGTTTCTGGAATGACAATCAATTTAGTACTCTGGGGATCCCCGTCGGCTTCTCGAAGATTATTTTATAAGATTTGTTTTCTTGTTTTGAGAGATTCCTATTGACCAGGGAAATTTAGGAAACCCCTTCCTGTGGGATTTATCTTTGAACTGAAAATCCATCCACTGTTTTTAGCAACCCTGCCTATAAAAATCGAAGAAATCCCTCCTTGGATAATATCTATGTTCTTCTGGAAATCCTGTCTCAGGCATTCAGAAAAAATATATTTTTCTCAAAGGAGTATCATAATCAAAAATGAAGAAATTCCTTCAATAGGGAATCATCCCTTTATCTGGAATAAAAATCCTTCTGTGTGTGCTACTTCTTAAAATCTAGGGACCTTCGCCTTTGGAAGCATCTGAGTTAAGCTCAGAATTGGGAAGATTCACTTCTAGGATGCATTTGTCTCTAGTTATTAAGAAATCCCTGTCTCTAAAAATTTGTTTTAATATACTTCGTCTGACTAGCGGTCTGAGTGAAGTTAGATAGGGAAAAGCCGAGTCCAATTACAAGACAGGATTCTGAAGAACCCCAATCCATGGTTTTAGAGAATCTTTGTGCAAGATTTAGGAGAATTTCTGTCTGTCAGAAAGATTCATTCTCAGGGATTTGCCTAAATTTATTCTCCCGAATTCAGGGAAAGTTTTTATATTAACAAGTCTAGATAGAGCTGGAATTAGGGCGTAACAGCCTTTGTAAACAATTACTTCTCTCATTGATTTCTAGGAATTCAAGGCACGCCAACACAAACCAATATATCCATCGGGTAGGAGAAGTCTTCCTCTACTCGATGGTGATGTCGATTGGCCAGAGAGAGGCATGACTTTCGAGAAATCGTCTAGAGAAGCCATTGTTTACGAAAGCTGTTACACCCTAATTGCAGCTTTATCTAGAAGTCTAGAATTCTGTAAGCCTCTTGCATTTGGCAGAACTCTGTCTGCAGTCGGGGTAATCTTTGTATCTTGGGATTTAGACATGGTGACCAGCAAATCCTGATTAGCAATTTCCCGGTTTTGTTTATCAGGAATTTGGGAAAGTTTAAGGATGTGCGATATAAATTTATATTCAACATAATACCAAATGCGATTGAACCGAAGAAATCACAAGAGATGGCCATTACTAAGACAGCAGCATTTTTGCTGGATCTTGAAGGAGGATTTGCGCTCGAAGTCTTCAAAATTTGTCCATGAAAATTCGCTCAAAATTTTGCAGGATTTCATTTGATTATTCTCACACATTTTTGTTCAGAATGCTTCTAACAATTTAATGAAATGTTACAATTATTGTATGCAACAGTTTCTCTTTGTTAGCAATATTTCTTGCAAGTTCGTAGTTTGCGCGATGAGAAATACAAGTTACACATGGATGTTAAGTAATATTCAGAACATTCTTCTGTCTATTTTTTTTTAATAAATTCGCTTGAATTGTCTTTAAAATTCACATGCAATTCACCTCAGAACTATCGTCAAATTTAGCTCAGAATTATCTTGGAGTTATCCTATTAATTCTTCTGAAAATTCACTTGGAATTCTCCGGTACATTACCTAGAAATCCGTTTCAAGAGGCCCTTGAAATTATACTCGGAATTTCCTTAAAACTTCTCGCACAATTTCTTTGGAATTGTACTCTCAAAATTCGATTCCCTTGGTATTTTTCACGAATCCTGGAATCTTCTGTACAATTACGATGGGATTTTCCATAGAGCTACTTTAAAAAATGACTCTGAACTCACACAATTGACTTGGAGTTCTAGTTGAAGCTCACCTCAAAGCTCCCTTGGACATTTCCTCTGGAATGTCTTGGTGTTTTCACTAAAATTCATTCTAAAGTCTGCTCAAAATTGCTACAATTTTTATTTCTAAGATTCTTTTACAATTTCAACAAAGAAATCTAGTCCAGTCCAAAGGTCTTGAAATTTTTCAAGGCTCATAACTTTTTTTAGAGAGGACGAAGTATATTTTTCCTGATTTGTCATCGAAATTCCCGGGTTTTTTTTTCGGTAGACATTCTGGAGAATCCTTGCCCATGGTTCTGTTAAATATGTCTGAAATTATGGAAAATACCTGTCCCATGGATTTGGGAAGATTTCGGACAACATCTTCAAGATTTAGGGAATTTCCATCACTAGGATTTATTTGATAACTGCACACTAAGATTATTTTACCGAAATCTGTGAAATTTTACCGAAATCTCAACAGCTGAACGTTCGGTAAACAGTTCGGTGATTTTTCACAGTTTTCCTGTACATTTTCAACGAATATCTGGGTAAAAATCACAGAAGATCTGTGAAAAATCACCAAACTGTTTACCGAACGTTCAGCTGTTGAGATTTCGGTAAAATTTCACAGATTTCAGTAAAATAATCTTACCCAAGTAACATTGCAAGTTTTATGGAGGTTTTAAAGCATGCTACAAGTTTAAATCATGGTCTATAGAACCCTTATAAAACCGAAATTGTTACTTGGGTAGTGTGTGTCTGTGGAATAACAATAATTCTACAATTCGGGAAAACTCTTTCTGTAAATGTTGAGGGAATCCTAGCTTGAATTCGGAAGGATCCTGACTGGAATAGGTCCAGCAACATTAGGAGGATTCTCATTCAGAGTAGTCCTTGCTCTGGGCCTTAGGAAAATCTTGGGATCCTGCCTACAATTCTGGATGATCGCTGTCCATGAGTTTGAAGTATGATAGGGGTAATATTGCAGGGAATCCATGTTTGGAATTCAAGAAAAATGCCTTCTCAAGAGAGTCTCCGTTCCGGATTTACAGAATCTTATATTCAGGGAAACTATTTACCACCTGGGATTAATTCCTGTCTATGGAATCCGTCTAAGATTCTGTTAATCCCTGTCAATGAAAATTGAAGAAATCTTATCTTGAATACGGATCAATTCTGTTTGGATTGCGTTGTATCTTTTTCAGAGTTCGTAGACATTCCATCAAGCATACGAGTTCTTCGTCGCCTCTGAGACCTTTGGCAATTCCAGTCACTAGGAATGAAGAGATTTCGCCTGAGATTCGGAAGAATCTCTGATCAAGATAGTGGAGGACCCACTTCTGATATTTTCTGGATGCAGGAAGATTATTCTCTTTAATTTAGGAATCCTTTTCTCTGGTATTTATCTTCAATTTTGTAATGTAAATCGGTCCAAGATTTTGGAAAATTCTGCTTGTCATAATAGAGGAAATTTTTGGAAATTTGGAAATCTAGTGGAATCCTATTCGGTATTCAGTACTATCCCATCTGGGACTTGGAAATCGCTGTCACTAGGTATCAACCCGAGTTTCTGGAGAATCACTATCCATGTCAGTGTTCATGATCCTAAAGAATCTCTGTCTAAGATATTGGAAAATCCTTGTTAGCGATGATGCACAATCCTCGTCTGGGATCCATAGAAATTAGTACTAACTGTGAGTCCAGTTTTGGACTATGAGGTATCGTTGTCTGAGATTCTGGAGAATCGCTGATTTTAATTCAGTACAGTTAAATTTATGACTGCTTTTTGAAATCTCTAAGAATCTTATGCTGGATTTTTTTACAACGTTTTAGTTCAAAAATTTATGAATAGGAACTAGGAAATATACCCCAGTAATAATTTGAATTTTATGAGGGTTCCATAGACCATTATTTAGACTTATAGAATGCTATAAAACCTTTATCAAAATTGAAATGTTACTTGGGATTTACTTTGGGACAATCCACCCCCCACCCCCTGGAGAATCCTTGTCCATGGTCCTAAAGAATGTCTGTCTGGGATATTGGAAAGTTCCTGTGACCAATTCTGCGCTGTCCACGTCTGGCATCCATTAAAATCAGTGCAATCTGTGAATACTGTCTTGGACTATGAGGTATCGTTGTCAAAGATTCTGAAGAATTTAATTCAGTATAGTCCCTTATGGGGTTCAAAAGAAAATTTATGATTGCTTTTTGTGATTTCTAAGAATCTGTTCCTGGAATTTTTAACAATGTTTTAGTCCGGAAATTCATGAATAGGAACTAGGAAAGATACTCAAGTAACAATTTGGGTTTTATTAGGGTTCTGTAGACTATTATTTAGACTTGTAGAATGCTATAAAACCTTTGAAAAAGTTGAAATTTTACCTTGAGTTTATTTTGGGATATTTTTTAAGATTGAAAAATTTCTATGATTCAAGAAATCCCTTTCTCTTGGATTGTTTGGGATGAAAATCCGTTTAGGATTATCGCAATCCCAGTTTCTAAAAATCTAGGGCGAATGTCATCTTGGATTTTGATGAATCCTATGTGGATCAAGAAGAAGAAATTCATTCATTAGTTTAAGAAATCTCATCTACGATCCCAGGATAACCTACCTGTCTCTGGAACATTATCCCGGTTTAGAAGATTAAATTCGGCGTTTAATGCACTAGAACAGCAAAATGGTCGAAGTCGGACTTACTCCATTTGATATATATGCAAAAATTACATCGGTTCTTATAACCATAAGTTATCATCGCATAATATCAGCTTGTTTGAATTCACGTAGATCGTCGTAGATTGTTTGAATTCACGTCGAATCTCATCGTTGCCCCACAGAGCAATCAAGCTCGCTGTACATCGCATCTCTTCTCTGTGCTTTTCGTCCAGATGGGGGTTCACGAACCCCAGGTTGAAAATCGATGACGTAGGCATGATATGATATTTTACTGATTACAATTCTGCAAATCCATCGTCCACATTCACGGACGTCACTGGAAATACACCGGGGCAGGTGGCGCCCTTACCGACCGAAGCCAAATTCGCCCAGAGGAAACCATAGCAATGTTTTTTTGCAAATCGTCCTACGTAGAAGCTTAAATACAATATGCGAGCGCGAATTCACAGCGCAGTCCTTCTATAATGGGATTATGGGGCGCTATTCCCCCTCCTCATTTACTTCCTTCCTTCAAGTGTACAGAAAACACCAACAAAACTTACCTTGACATAGTTGGTCGTTCCGGGCACGGTCATCGACTTCCAGTCGATGGTGTTGGCAAAGCACAGCTTCGGATTCTTCTCGATCCGAACGCCCCCGCGGGTTATGTCGGCCAACGAGACCAGACCGATTTCCTGCAAATGAGGGACGCAAAAAAAAAACTTGATCAGCACTTCAATCAATATTTAACAAAACATATATATATATAGTCAGGCACTACCTCCTATAATCCTACAATGTGGGAAAAAGCCAAAGGTTAACCGTCCCATTGAACCGTTCCCGGAGGAATCAATAATGCAAATAAAAATAGATTGGGAGACATTGGAGAGAAGAAAAAACTCCGCAATAGTGAGATAAAAATAGCATAGCTGAGCTGTTCCACGCCAACTGACGAATCGATTTTATTTTCCCCTCTCCAAATTCCAAGAAGCTTCGCGTTTTTCAGGCAAAGGTGTGTTATACTGCAATTCTTCATTAGCCAACTATTGTTTTGCTTCTCTTGTCATGACCAACGTCGTCATCTCGTGTCAAACGCGCAATCGTTTTCCTGTGAATTTGAGGAAATACCTCAAATCCCCTCACCCATCAAAGTGTGAGTTAGGTAAAGGAGTGCGCGTCACATTAATCTGCAACTTCTGTTAAATTTTCACATTACCATACTCTAACAGAACTATCGATCTATCCTCTTCAGAACTTTCTCTAGGTAATAAATTATCGCACTAAAGCTTCATGTTGATATTAGAATAGCTTTCCTTCCCAACTTCAATAAAAATTATTTGAGGAAAAAAAAAATCAAAATCTTTACTAAAAGCTTATATTCTACGATTTTTGTAAAACTCTAAGTTTTCGCATGTGTTCATGAAAAAGCAATCCAGTTTCTTACAACTTTGTCGCTGACGTCATTTCGGTTAGATGAACCTCTGATTAATTGAAAAATTTCGAATAAGCCATTTTAAAAATTATGGCGGTAGCCAAAATGGCCAAATTCCAGCACAAGTGCGAAGTTTCATGGAATTATGTAGGGTAAATCTAAAATTTGTTTATTTGTTCGCTGTTTGGCCTGGAACTGCTCAGCTACGTAACTTTATTGACCGTAACCGATGAAAGCGAACCGGAGCGAACATAACGCAACTTCCAAGCATCGAGATTATCTACTGCTGCGCGCGTTCGGTGAAATGCCAAATTTTCGAAGCAACAACCATAGTATACCGACAACACACGCACACACAACAGGTAGATTAGGTACAAACAATTGAATAGGCAAATTAAACGGCACACGTAAAACCCCGGATCAAGAGAGAAGAAGCAAGGAATGCTGTTGGTTTTGGTGTTATTTTGTTTCACTAAATTTATTGGCAATTTTCGGTGATTTACTGCGAGCAATCGTTTCTAAAATTAGGCACAACCAGCAGTCGACGATGGCAATGTATAGGGAATGAGCAGGGGGCACACCCTGGGGATAAGGATTAGGGAAAATAGGGCAAGTTTAGCTGTGAAAATAGCAGGCATAAAAATTGAGGAAAGCGAGCAAACGGTTAAAGAAATTAGCACATGAAGGAAACGAAAAGTAAAGCGGAAAGATGAAATAAACCTTTCAGAAACAGGTAAAAGTGTATTGGAATAGAACAAAGTATACGACAAAGGCAAAGCAAGAGGAAATACGAGAAGAAGGACAACATGAAGAACAAATAAAAGAATAACATATGAATATAACAGGAACAACAACATAAACCAACGCTTAAATTTAAATTGAATGTTCATTCACTCTTTAGGTGGCGCTAGAGTGCAAATGATTTTGCTCCTATGATAACTCAGGAAAGTGAGAAGATAGAAGCTTCCTGTCTTCTGCAAATTTGTTCAACTGAGCAAGACCATTCTATCCGTAAGTAGTTTAGTTCGTAATTCACTCTTTAGGTGGCGCTAGACTGTAAATGATGTTGCTCCTATGATAACTCAGGACAGTGAGTAGATAGAAGTTTCCTGTCTTCTGCAAATTTGTTCAACTGAGCAAGACCATTCTATCCGTAAGTAGTTTAGTTCGTAATTCACTCTTTATGTGGCGCTAGAGTGCAAACAATGTTGTTCTAATGATAACTCAAGACAGTGAGAAGATAGAAGTTTCCTGTCTTCTGCAAAATCATTCAACTGAGCAAGACCCGTCTTGCAGTAAGTAGTTTAGTTCGTAATTCACTCAACAGTAGATGCCAGAGTGCAAACAATATTATTCTAATGATAACTCAGTACCGTGACCAGATATAAATCTCTTGTCTTCTGCAAAGTTGTTCAACTGAGCAAGACATGTCTGGCAATTGACATTTTACAGTCATTACCCATCACCAACAAAAGGATCTCCGGGCGTTATAATATCAGGGAGCTAAAGGGCGAACACGAAATTATTGCGACACATTCAACAGGGCATAACTTTTTTACCATTGGGTAAAAATCAACCAAATTTTGCACACTTTCTCATTGATGTGTATTGTGTACATGCTGTCAAACTCGAAGTCGTGTTTTTCGATTCAACGAAAATGGAGGTGAACCAACGCGAGTTGAGAGAACAAATTCTTTCCAAACACCTGGAATTTCCTGACCTGTCGCACCGGCAGTTGGGAAAATGTTGAACATTCACCATTCAACCGTCTCCAGAGTGTTGAAGCGGTTCCAGGAGCGGTTGACGCTGGACCACGGCAAAGGAGCTGGAAGAAAACCGGGACCGGAGAACAAAAAGACGGAGGGAAAGGTGAAGCGGATGATTAAAGCAAATCCCAACGTCTCAAGCCGTGATTTGGCTAAAAAGATCGGCATGTCGCAGAGCTACGTCCAGAATGCAAAGAAGAGAGCTGGACTACATACATACAAGGTACAGAACATCCCAAAACGCGATGAGTGGTAACAATCGACGGCTAAAACTCGGGCACGGAAGCTCTACGAGAAGATGCTGACAAAATATGGCTGCTGTGTGATGGACGACGAAACGTATATAAAAGCCGATTTTAAGCAAATTCCGGGGTTGGAGTTTTTCACCGGCAAGAGCAAGTTCGATGTGGACGACAAATTTAAGAAGAAGAAAATGTCGAAGTTCGCCTCCAAATATCTCATTTGGCAGGCCATCTGCTCTTGCGCACTGAGGAGTGAGCCTTTCGTGACAAAGGGCACAGTAAATGGCGAGATCTACAAATCTGAGTGCCTCGAGAAGCGCCTTTTGCCGTTCTTGCAGCAGCACGACGAAGCTCCGCTAGTTTGGCCAGATTTGGCATCATGCCACTATTCTAAAAGTGTCCTGGAGTGGTATGAAGCCAATTATGTCCATTTTGTTCCAAAGGACATGAATCCGCCAAACTGTCCGGAGCTGCGCCCGGTGGAGCAGTACTGGGCAATAATGAAGCGGGAACTTCGGAAGAGCAAGAAGACAGTCAAAGACGAGAAGGACATGTTAAGAAAATGGAAAAAAAACTGAGAAACTGGTACCGGATGACACTGTAAAGACTTTGATGGAGGGCATTCAAGCGAAAATGCGTTCAATTTTACACTCAAGGCTCCATCGATTAACTTTTCTTTTGATTTTTGAAGTAAATATATGTATAAAACTACCCTAAAATTTTGGTTTGATTCTAAACATTATAAGAAAATTGGCATGACATTTCCGGTGTCGCAATAATTTCGTGTTCGCCCTTTATGTAATCACTGCATGCTTGATCATATGTCTCATGAATCTTATAACACAGAAGGGTTTGCTTTTTGCTAAAATTAAAAAAAAAATGCCTTCTGAGTGTGGACAGTATGGGAGAGGTGTACCAGACACTACAGAAATGACCCGATTTTGTCATTTTGAATGAGAAATATTTGGTATAAAGGAGGAGTTGACAAAATCGGGTAATCACTGTATTCCATGTACACAATGGTACCAGCAGTGGCACTACTCATTGCCATAGTTCATAACTAGTTAAGGTCATAACTTAAAAATATTTGTTTAAGCAGTGCTGTGCAATGTTCCTTCTTCCTTAAGGAAACATTGCGGTGAACAACACTACGCACTCACTTTGGCGCGCTCATCACAACTTACTCGCACGTGCGCATGGAGACTCAGGCGGTTATCTTCAGTCGCGAGGACTTAGATTCGCCGTGGGAGGAGTTCTTCAGTTAGCGGTCTTTTACGACTGGTTACAGTCGAAAATCGCTTTGAGGAAAGCTGAGTCTCTGGTTGGAAAAAGACTGTTTTATTCTACAAATTTCATTAGCTTTTATAGCCTTCGGTTTACAACAATTTACATTGAATTTTCCTATCTTCTAATGGGTTAAAAAGAGAACGAAAGAGACGCCTGGGACATAATGCTGACAAATATTGATATTTGGGTTTTTGCCCTTGCGCGCCCATCGATGCCTTTGTTTTGATTTATTTTGCTTATGCTGTTTATTGGGGCTGTGGTGCGAGACCATCCCGGTATGCAATTTGAGTCAGCAAAACATGTGTTGGGTTATTATATTGCTACGTTCATAACGCACATGCCTGGCTGTTCCTTAGTTGCGTGTTAAATGGTATGTTTCCGAAATTGCATCGATGGCTGTGCTGGCCATCTGACTGTGATTGAAATGGAAATGTTCTTGCTGGTACTGGATAATTAATTGCATGGGAAGATGCATAGCACAGTGCTATAACTGACACACCTTCCGGGGACCGCCCTCAATGTCAAATATGGCAATCATATTTTTTCTGGTGATAACTGAGGCGCTTATAGAAGATTCCTTTCATCGGGAAAACTTTTCATCTGTACATGAACCCTCTAGCAAGGGACAATTTAATTTGGAATGGACTCAGTAGGTTGCACCAGTATTCCAACAAATAAGCCATGCCCAAAACTGGATGAAAGTTCCAACCATCGAGAAAGTTGATCAATTGACTAGGACTCGTCTTTCAGTGGAAATCATAATTCTGCTAGTAACATGTCATGACCATGACCGGTCACCAAGATCATTTCTACGACAAAGTTGTTCGGCTGAACAACAACGACCTAGAACTCAAAAACTTCATGAAGTTTGGATGCGTGAAAAACTAAGAGTTGTTTTCTTGAAATCCGTGCAAATGTATCAACTATTCTCTATTGTGGTTGCAAGTAATGTTTGAAGAGATCTGCAT